TTCTATTAATTTAATTGGTACATTTTAAATGTATACATTTATTGGTCCATTTATACATTTCTGCTTTTAATACAAATTATGTCAGTGTCGGTCCTCCATATTTTTGAGCAGACAATAATTATCTGGAATTGAACAGGAATTAAAACATTGATTAATTTATCTGATCACTGTTGTGCAACAATACAGCTACATTTCATATTGTTTATCTTTTAGCTGTTCCCTTCTCCAGGGGTCACCACAACTTGCACAGAAGATTTGGGATTTGTTTTACTCCAGATAGACTTCCTGATGTAAACCAGACTCAAACTTGCAGCCTCAACGTCACAAGACTGCACACAGACCTCCAAGCCACCACATCCCCTTCCTCAGCTCATGATTAAAATAAAAACCAGATGCTGACATGGTTTTCTCCAGCTCCTCACCTTCCTCTGAAAGACCAGTCCGAACTCTCGAAGGTGCTGCAGGAAGGTGAGCAGTGACTCACTCATGCCCTCCACTGAGTAGTCCTGAAGACAGGCAGCACAACAAAAACGAACACACACAAAGTGAAAAACATTGATTTTAGCAAATGTTCACTCATTTTGACATTTTGAATTCCAAAAACTAATAAAGTTTGAACATTAAATATCTTGTCATTGTAATGTATTGTATTGAATATAGGTTAAAAAGGATTTGCAAATCAACAGTTTTTCTTTATGTTTTAAACAACATCCCAACTTCATAGGAACTGAGGTTGTAAGACTTGTAGCAGCAGATTATATCCACCTCAGGATAAAGCTAAATGATTTAAGCTTTTCTTTCTCCAAATTCAAGTTTGTGTTCAGAGAATCCAACAAGAAACACATCCTGGTACTCACTCTGCCCAGAGTAGAGAAACTGAGCTGGAACAAGAAGGACAAGATCTCCACCAGGTCCATCCCTCTGGACTGCAGCACACAACACAAACACATGGAGCAGATATTCTCAAATCACATTGAAATAAACCTGTTTTTACTTTTGTAGGGGTCACCTCGAGTGAAGAAACAAGATTTACTGCCTCGAAGCAGGCCTCGGACAGGCCTGACGAGAGGACAGGAACTCTGTCACAAACTGAACTCTAGTTAGGTCATGACAGGTCATTCTAACCGTGGAAGAGAACCCCTCAGTTCTCTTAATCAGATAATGGACAGAACAATCTCTTCTGTTCGTGATTCATTTGTTGTTTAACTAAGAATGTTTATGCATTTGTTAAATCATGATAATGACTGTCACAGGAAAAGTGGAACCACTTCTCTTTTATCGTGCCTTAAAGATTAATAATGGTATAAAAAAATCACAGAGAATCCGATTACAATGTTTTCATTATGTTTTTATATAAATCACTGTTTTTATTTTACTGGAAACAGTAATATAATTGATTTTTTCTTGAGAAAATCTTTCATTTATCTGGACTAACAGAATGGTTCAGAGTGATTACTTAAACAGAAATGTTAATTAATCATCATAAATGTTTTGCAGTGATTTCTCTTAGTCTATCAGAAGAAAGCTGAAAAGAGGTTTTCATATCATGTTGTTGAACAATCACAGAATTTTAACCTTGGGCTGGCGCCGGCTGGCAAATCTTTATCTTTCTTTCTCTGACTCATCTCTAAGCCTGAGGGCGGAACCAAAGTTTGTCCGTTTCTTTTACTAATCCGGACGGCTTTGAGCGACACACTCTTCTTCCTGATTCCAACTGAGGAAGAAAGCTGGGATTCTCTCCGGAGAAAAAAACAGTTTGGCTTTAAGTCTGATCCCATGAGCTAATTAGGGAAGACTTCACAGCCAGGGACCCGGCACGCCTGTCGGTGGTCTCAACCTGAGGCCGAGCCTCTTAAGTGTGTTTTTAACTCCCGAGGGGAGATTTTATTTTGGAAGGAGGAACCGGATACYGCTTGAATTTTTCTGGCTTGGACTGAAACAGACGAAAGTTACCTGGAAAAACACCTGTTCGCCAATGACCGGTAAGTGAGCCGACATCAGTTCCCTGACTGATCGGAGGCGAGCCAGCTCCTACCCCGAGGGTGTCTTAAGAAGTCATCACCAGGTAAAAGCTGATGTGTTTGGGTGACGTGTCATGTGGAACCTGAGCTTAGAAAAGACGTGCAGTTCCGGTCGACCCACACTTTGATAAAAGTAAAAGTAGTAGTAACATACTAATCTTACTTTCCTCCTTTCCTTGTTCTTAATTTGCCAAAACTTAAGCTAAAAGTGCCAGTAAAATTGTTTGGTTGTTAACATCAAAACTGACATTTTACTGTTCAATATAAGTAATCTGAGTTGATGTGAATTGAAATTCAGATGCGGGTTTTATCTCATTTAACTTTGACGCTTGTTATAGGAATAACCACAATCAAGTGTACTTATGATTTGTTCAATTTGTGTAAATAAATGATTGCATAATCTTTTATGAATCAACTTGAGCTCGTCTGAACGTTCACTTATTGTGTCACTTTTCACTTCGCACAGTCAAGATATTAACAAGTAATGAGAAAATACCTTGGTAAAAGTTTCCCCATAACCTTGTGTATGAGAGATGTGGGAGAAGCTTAATTCACCTTAAGCTCACTCCTACACTTTAAACATACAGATGTAGGTGAAGAAACTGTAATTTACAAACCTTAAAGCAGTCAAAGCACTCCAAGTAAACACAAGCCTCTTCTCATAGGCAGCTCTGTGTTTGACTTTCTTTAAACGTTCCGCATATATTCATGGGAACGATGCAGTTTTTATGAATCAGGACATAAAATAATCTGATTTTTACCAGGTTCTAAAATCATTTTAATTCAACCTCATGAGAACAGATTCCACCATCTTATTAATTATTAAACACAAACAGGTCATAAATCAAAAAGCTTTGGTTCAGCCCTAAATGATTTGTTTGTTTTGCAGGAGCTGAGCCCCTCACAGTCACTGAGACCACCATGAAGTTCTTTGTAGTTCTGCAAGAAAACAAAACACTTTGACTGGACTGATACACCCTGACTCTTGTCTTTTACAGATGTTTTGTTATAAAAGTTCCAAAATCCAGACCTCAGCCTGACTGAAGAGGTGAGCAGAGACAATGGGACTCATGCAAGAACCGTTCGTACGCACAGATTTGTTCTTAAGTTGTGCGTATGAGTGATTTAGGAGAATTTGTGGCATTCACCAATGTTTTCGTATTCTAAGATTTTCTTCAGATACAAACAAAATTCACGAGTGGTCCAGACCTGTCGTATATTTTACGAGCAGTCAGTCTGCTGTTATCCAGACGGGTTTTCTTTATTAATAACTTTATATTTCGTTAGTTTGAAGATATTTCAAGTTCAAAATAAATCACACTCTGTAATTATGTTGACAATAATGGTTTTGCCATTTTGTTTTTCTACACTTAAGGTTGATCTGAATAATTTAAAAACCTAGAAAAGATTAAACTTCTTAGGTTCTGACACATAAACCCATAGAACTGTAAAAAGGTAGACTTCCTTCTCTCTCTAGTTAGACAAAAAGGTGACTGACTGTGATAATGATGTACGATCGTTAAGATAAGACCTCATCTAAGAACCCTAACAAAGGCTGCACCTACAAAACTACAACTAGATGTTTAATGCAGGTCTTACCTGAGCAGATTTGAGGTACTGCAGGGTGAAGTACCACAGCTGAGAGGCTGTGTCCAGGAGGAGGAACTGGAACCCAGCCGAGGTGATGTACGGCGCCTCTCCTGCCTCACTGAAAATCAGAGATAAGACAGGGTTCATATCTAACCCAGAACTACAGATCTGTCTTTATGAGCACCAGCCTAATCTGCCTCAGGATTATTAATTCATGTTTTCACCTACAGTTAGAAAGAGAAAAGTGATTTTGTGCCATAATTACTGAACAGAAATCCAAATTGTCTTTATTTGGTGGTGATTATGGAGGTTTTATTCAACACAAATCTCCCTTTGCTCTGATGTGAGTTCACCTGGTGGTGTTTTATATTGCATGTGTGCAGCTGGAGAAAGCTTCAGAGGAAAGCAAGTGAATGTGATGTGATGAGATACTAACCTAAGAAAAAAGCTCTGAATGAGAGCAAATCAAACGTAAGTGGAAAAAAAACCCTCTTTTGTGGGGTACCTCAAGGCTCCATACTGGGCCCCATTTTATTTTCTCTTTATTTGCTTCTGCTGGGGTGCATTTTCAAGAAATATAATGTGTAATTTTATACAGAAAAACAAACTCAGAATTAACATCTTCAAAGTTTTTACATTTCAAAGAGCCATACCCGCAAGAAACTGGCTGGTTTCTCTGCATGACTAACAGCAGCAAGCTCCTACACTTTGCCACTTTTAAAAGATGTCTGAACTAATAACACATCAATGATAAGATGGGTACCTTTTCATGAGGCCTGCTTGAACCAACAGCTGGGCCAGGTCCTGGCTGACGGCGCAGGGGGAGCCCACCATGAACTGCAGGATCACCTCCCAGCGCTCCAGGGCGTAGCGGTCCAGGCTCTCGATGTCCCGCGCGTGGCGGTCCGGACCCAGGCTGCTGCCTTCATCTGCCCACGCTGTGCCCCTGTTTGTCAACACACTGTTAGACCTTGAAAGGGACAGTCTGACCATTTTGGATCGAGATTATGTATAAAAATGATCTTTTTTAACATTTACCTGTTGTGTTTAGCTTCTTAAACAAACACATTATGGAGAATTTAGAGTTTATTTTCAACAGATCTGATGAGCTCTTTTAATAAAACAGCTAAAATCTTTAGTAAGTTTTAGCAGTTTAATAAACACCATTTTATAAGCATTACTGTCAAAATCACAGATTTACAAATGTTTTTAAAACTCCCTACACTCAACTAGAGACCTAGCATCCCTCGCCACATTTCATCCCAAAGGTTTAAAATCTAAAGTCTAAAATCTTCTTATGCTGAGAAGAGATGGAGTTGTAGTTGGTTTGGTGAAATCACATAAATCAGGGGTGCCCAACCTTTTTTGAAAAACAGAAAACATAAAAAACATGTTGAGAAACATAAAAGTGATGCTCGAACAAAAAGCATAATTTTTTTTACCTCCTTCATTTAGTACTCCCTGTAATGTGCAAGCTATGAGGGCTGAAAACATGCCCAGTGAAAACCACAGAGTCAAATAACTTTGGAGCACGGGAACTCAACTCCATTTATTCAAAGAACTCTCCTCTCTTCTCTCCATACAGGGGAGGAAAAACAAAACAAAACACTAAAGTCAAAGCACACAATATAAAACTCTCTCGTTTATACTATTACAAAAAGTGACTTACGATGGTGCAGATTCACAAATCTCCCAGCAACTATTTCAAACCTCAATCTGCAGCATGCAGGATGGTGTCATCTGTAGGTGTTGAAGAGCTCAGTCCCTCACTGGTCCAGACTGCCGGCTCCAGACCATTCAAAGAGTTCCACCTGGTTCACCACCTATAAACAAGACACACACACACAGTCACGCTAGGTATGGAAAACAAGGGCACACCCAAACTGCGAAATAAATAAATAACACAAAGGTGC